CCAGTTACTGCCTCCTTGATGCCTCACATGGCACTCTGGGGATCAGAGACTTGGTTTATAGTCAGAGATTCTGAAAGAATTACGATGATGTCGCCGATCTCCATCACAATGTTGATTAGATTTTATCATAAAACAATGTTTTTTTTCACTTCTGAGATAAAAAATACACACACACACAGGTCACAAGGCAAACAGGAATACAATGAACATTCAAACCATACATGACAACCACACATAAGCCAATATCACAAAATACCACACAATTATTTAGCAACCACACTAGGTAGTGAGGTAATGACACATGCCGATTGCACACCCTGACACACGTGTTGCAGTTCACACCCTAACAGCACAGTGTGTTAGTACACGACACAAGGCATGCTGTCATTCTAGCTCTCTCAGCAGATCTCGTCCAAATTACCAGAGCAAGTGTCACAGACTAGGTCTACTAGATTATATGTGTTTCCATGGTTATACACCATTCGTGGACAAGTCTGCAGTCTAGTCTTCGTTTGCCATCTCAGAGTGTATATTTGCAGGAAAAACCCACCTAACAGCAGCCAATCATACGAGTAAAAGGAGTCTAGCTTTCACCTGCAGTCTAAGACTTAGTTGGCCATTGCACTGGATTCTGCCATACAGTGTAACTTTCATGTAAAATCAATATCCAAAATACAGATGGAATAAACCAACATACAATCTTATGACATTGTTCCAGTTTTCTCCTGTAACTGCTAGATTAGGAATTCCTTATATACTTAACGAGGGTGAGGAGTTTATAGCTCTGTCTGTGCTAAAGTGTGGTGATGGGGGGGCGTGGACCAATGTCCAATAACACATTAACTAAGTCATTTCACCTAGCAATAACACATTCACAGCTGATATACCTTAGAACAGTTAACACACAGAACCATGTCAAAACATCTCACACAGACCCACATCAACACACCTCACACAGACCCAATTCACCACACCTCACACAGACCCATGACAACACACCTCACACAGACCCAATTCAACACCCCTCACACAGACCCACATCAACACACCTCCCATAGACCCACAGCAACACACCTCACACATCCCCAATTCAACACACCTCACACAGACCCACATCAACACACCTCACATAGACCCACAGCAACACACCTCACACATCCCCAATTCAACACACCTCACACAGACCCAAGTCACCACACCTCACACAGACCCATGTCAACACACCTCACACAGACCCAATTCAACACATCTCACACAGACCTAATTCAACACACCTCACACAGACCCATGTCACCACATCTCACACAGACCCATGTCAACACAACTCACACAGACCCAATTCAACACACCTCACACAGACCCACATCAACACACCTCACACAGACCCAATTCAACACACCTCACACAGACCCATGTCAACACACCTTACACAGACCCATGTCAACACATCTCACACAGACCCATGACAACACACCTCACACAGACCCATGTCAACACTTCTCACACAGACCCATGTCAACACACCTCACACAGACCCAATTCAACACATCTCACACAGACCTAATTCAACACCCCTCACACAGACCCATGTCACCACATCTCACACATACCCACATCAACACACCTCACACAGACCCAATTCAACACACCTCACACAGACCCACTTCAACACATCTCACACAGACCCATGTCACCACATCTCACACATACCCACATCAACACACCTCACACAGACCCAATTCACCACACCTCACACAGACCCATCTCAACACACCTCACACAGACCCAATTCAACACATCTCACACAGACCCAATTCAACACACCTCACACAGACCTAATTCAACACACCTCACACAGACCCATGTCACCACATCTCACACATACCCACATCAACACACCTCACACAGACCCAATTCACCACACCTCACACAGACCCATGTCAACACACCTCACACAGACCCATGTCACCACACCTCACAATTCAATGTTAACACACCTTACACAGACCCATGTCAACACATCTCACACAGACCCATGTCTACACACCTCACAGATCAATGTCTACACACCTTACACAGACCCATGTCAACACATCTAACAGATAAATGTTAACACACCTTACACAGACCCATGTCAACACACCTCACACAGACCCATGTCAACACTTCTCACACAGACCCATGTCAACACACCTCACACAGACCCAATTCAACACACCTCACACAGACCCATGTCAACACACCTTACACAGACCCATGTCAACACATCTCACACAGACCCATGTCAACACACCTCACACAGACCCAATTCAACACACCTCACACAGACCCATGTCAACACAACTCACACAGACCCATGTCAACACACCTCACACAGACCCCTGTCAACAAACCTCACACAGTCCCATGACAACACACCTCACATATCAATGTTAACACACATTACACAGACCCATGTCAACACACCTCACACAGACCCATGTCAACACAACTCACACAGACCCACGTCAACACACCTCACACAGACCCATGTTAACACACCTAACACAGATCCACCAAACACTGACACAGCTAACTGTTAATATTGTATGTGCATTGTAGCAATTGTCTGTGTGAAACAGTTGGCTCTCTAGCTGTCGGTGCTGTGGGACGATAAGGAAATATCTTACCCAATTCTATTGTTTTTATCGACCACTATTTTGATGTGAACCTACTTTTTTATTTTATATCACCACAGTGTTCCATGATTACCTATATATATGTACCAGATAAAGTTGGTGTTTCAGAAAATTATATTCATGTTAAGAAACAGCATCAATCAATAACCTTCTGCAATGCATCATCGTCTGCCTCAGCAAACTTGTTTTCAACCAAGCCAGCTGCTAGATTGAAAACATTACGACTGAAATATTTACTATCACTGAGAAAATTTAAACTAAATTGGGGACTAAGACAAGCCGGGACCTTTGAAAATGGGTGTGGATTAGTATATGAAATTCTGAGAAATTGATGGTGTATCACAGTGCAGCTCTGCCTAAGGCTACGTTTTCCTTTTACCATACTTTTATTATAACATATGTTTGTGTTTTAGTGATTTTTTGTTTTTGTACATGAGTGAAGAATAGCATTAATATTATATAGTGGGAAGAAATCTTGATCTCTCCAGATTAACATTGCAAAATCATGTTATTACCAGGTCAGGAACAGTGGATGTATCCATCAGTTTATCAATACAGATGCATGTGCTTTCAATTGTTAGGTCTCAGTTACTTGGACAACAGTAGTGCACCCCTGCTCTGTGGTATATCTGATACACGAGCTAGCCATCTGTAGAGGGTCCAGGACACTGCAGTATCTCTGGTTATCTGTACTCAAAATGAGAGCAGATTACAAGGCTTCGGATTACAACAGTGTTATATTCATTAAATTGGTTAACTGAGTGATGCAGGCTGAAGTACAAAATTTTAGTGTACCCATGCAAGGTACTAAATGGAACAGCTCCACAGTGTGTTCAGGGGCTTGCCAATATGGTTGGACTCAGAAATCCAAAATCTTGTACAGTTATATTTACGGTACTATGACATTGTGTACAAAGCTATGCATGACAGACTGATTTCTATCGACAGTATAATACCACTTGTCTTGTAGACTCTGGTGCAATAACTTTTTATTGATTAGTCATTTAATGTTGGAGAAGCATAGACCATATCTAATATTTTATTTGTCAAACTATCTAAGAACACTCCAGAATCACTACTAAAATTTCCTGTCCATCAGGACAGGTGCCTTTTTTCCATTGTACTGTCTTTATTGACATTGCATGCCTGTATAGTTTTACTAGTAGATGTAGAATGTTCATGAATGTTCATTCTTGGAAGATCTTTGCTTGAAAAGGCAGTCAAATTTGGGGCAAAATAGTCCAACCTACCCTAGCCTGTTTGCAGAGTATGTATAAGGTCCATGCAGGCTCAATGAAAAATAACTGGCCTGAACCTGATACATGTACAGATGTTCCCTACTTGACCAACTGTATATACATATGTATGAGGCAATATATGTGGGATCCAGACCTGTAAAAACAAGCTGCCAAATATTGTCTTCCTTCTAGTACTAAGATAATGAGATGAACCTTCCTAACAAACAAAGCCTATATAGAAATAGTGGGGAAAATTACTGGTTTTGGTTATGTTTTACCTTTGTACTTTGTTGGGTTTTTTTGGTGTCCTGAGTGCTGCTGATTTTACATTTGATGATTATTCTGCATTTTTTGTCTTCAAAAAAAGTACTAAGTACGAAGTGTACAGCACCTACCAGGTACTGAAACTCAAACATCGGATTTGATGTGGGGAATATTCGGCAAGATGTAATGTTTCTATGGGTCTTTATACACAGAAATTATGAAGAAGTCCAGTACCTGCATGACCATGCAAGGTAAGCAATTATTCTTTTAACACTTGATCATACGTACAATAGTGAAAACATTCCCTGTCATGTTCAACATAAGTCACTGAAATTCCAGTACTCACAGTAGGTGTCTGTACATGTACTTTTCAACAAATATGAACGAATAAGTACTTTAACAATGATACAGTCAAGAGATTACAACAATCCGACAATTGTGAATTTAGAATGACAAATAAGTAAAGCACTGTACTGAGTATATATACTATATTCCCATTCGGCTAATTAAAAATGCCTGCATGTAATGTTTTGAACAAATGGTAAGGACATAAAATATCAACAAACAGGCTTGGAAAGGCGAATTGTATGTTACCAAAAGATCATCCAGTCTGCAAATCAGATGCATTGCTTTGAACAGCGAGCTAACTGCATCAATAGTCTAGGCCTTATGACAGGTCTCGACTCCTAGTACAGACTAGTTATCGTTCGCATGCCATGGTAACGACCATCGTTTTGCGAAACGATAGAAATGTCTGATCTTAAGAACAGTCTACAAGGATGGAAGTATTTCTACGTTATTTAATGATTATTTCACTTACTTATGAACTCTTTGTGGTGTCAGTAATGTCCGTGAACACGTTATTAGCTCGCTGTCAGTAATCACATCCCCTGTCGACTGCATTGACATTCCTTATATTCATGAGCTTCCGGTTACCAGAACGCGGCTATGACGAGATTTTTGTCATTCGGAACATGTAGGTATGTAGGTAAGAATATATAGAGTAATAATATTGACATTTGGAACTTCTCTACTTTTACCACAAAAATTGAATTCGTTTTGGTTTCACTTGGCTTCAATGTTGGGATGTAGGTAAGCAATTTACCTGTACTAAGTGATGTGTTAATTATTTGGCAGGCGTTTTATATTTTCTTTCAGGGACTCTGACGAACTAAAACATTTGTTGCCCATATAGTTTTACATTTCATGCATCTGATATACCTATATATTCAAGACAGGCACAGATGATCACATTTCATGTTATGAAACAAGTTGCAAATAACTGTTACTTTAGATTAACACAGGGTTGGGCATATGGTCTGGTCGTGTTTTTCTATAACAAGTATTCTTTTACCTCGTCTATATAAGAACTTGTCTGATTAGGGAATCACTACGATTTGCCCTCCTGAAACATGATTCTTGGCATGGGGAAACAAAGAATCGTGTTTCCCTATACACAAGGGCTAGCAATGCATCACTTTAATATTTATAATACATACCCCCCTATGAGTTACAAAAACATATATAACATTTGTGTGGACCATTTAAACACTTAATTTATCATAATATATTGTAAAAAAACTAACAATGATATAACATCTAAAAAAGTATTTCCTATAATTCTACATAGTAATGACCACCTTCATCTATTTGAAGATCATGCCATGTGATAGTGGGTGCTAGGCCAAGAGAAGAAAAGATAAAAGATAGTGAAAGGGAATATTTATAAAGTATGGGAGTTAGAATTGTTTTTTGTTTAGGGACAGTTTGAAGCAGTCAGAAGAGGTAATGGAGGTTATATCCGGAGGCAGGTTATTCCAGTCTACTATATATGGTACGAGGGGGAAAAGGATTGTTGTCGTACCTGTGTTCTACATGAGAGTGTTTGATATGAGTTCTGGTGTGCGTGTCTTGTGTGGTGGGATGGAGGTATGAGTTGGTCTTTTCTTATATTGACTTTGTCATGTATAGTTTTATGTATAGTGTTGTCAGTCGCATGACTCTCCTTCTGTCTTCAAGTGATTGTCAGTTAAGGTGTTGAAGCATGTCACCAACACTGGAGGTGTTTCTAAATTTGTTGGTGACTAATCTGGCTGCTCTACGCTGCACCATTTCTATTTTGCTTATGTCTGTTTTAGTATAAGGGTCCCAAACTGAGCAGGCATATTCTAGGGATGGTCTGACAAGTGTTTTATATGTCTGCTCCTTGACAGATGTAGAGTTTATCTTAAGATTTCGTCTGAGAAACCAATATTTCAAAAATCTTCATCTCCAGACTCAGAGGTATTACAGTCATTTTTTTCGCTGCATGGATGGAAAGATCATCAGGGGCTTTATTTAAATTGTAAATTTCAGGACCCCCCGAGCTATCCGTTCTCCCTTGGGGAGTGGGTAAAGTTTACTATAGTTTATATAGGGAAACAATACTTTTGGGTATATTTTGACAATTTTCTGTTGGAAATTATTCTTACTTGGTGAGAATTATCCTTGAAGAAAGATGGTTTTAAATTGTAAAATTGG